GACCTGAGGAAACGAAGCGAGGGAGGAGGATCCGAGCGAACCGAAGGAGGCTTCGACGAGGGGCGAGACGAAGGCGGTCCCTGGACAAGACTGCTGGTGGCTGGCCGCTGTGCTGCTGTGCTCTGGGAGAACGACTCCTGATCTGTGTTGCTTCTGTTGCGGGCTTGCCCATAGTGCTCAGTACCTACTGGTTGCCTCTAATGCCATACGCGAGCCCACCTATCGACACCTTGCCAGGCAGCTTCTGGATCCCCGTCGCGCGCAGGCATAGGCTGATGAGACGATTGATATTTGACCCACGTGAAGTTCGATGCCGTGTTGATTTCCTGCGGGCGATGCTCGACCGCCGCGATGGCCGTCTCCTGTTCGAGATCGATTCCCACGGGCCAGATGCCGTCGAGGTTGCATGATAAGCGGGCCGTCGGAGCCACTCCTTGTTTCTGCTGTAGTTCGTTGGCGCGGCAGCTGATGCACCAGTCCTCGAAATCCGCGGGTGTCGCTGCCTCTCGGGACTCGATCAACCAACGAATGGCCGCGAAGATGCGCTGGATTACTTCGTTCTTGCCCTCCACGCTGGTTCCTGCTGGTGATGCAAGCAGCGCTCCGCCTGCGTGAAGATTCGGAGATTCGAAAGTGTGTCCTGCGCCCGCCTCCTTGACCTGTCTATCGTAATTGGTCGTCGCCGTCTTGATTTCCAGAAACACAGGGTGGCCCGTGGGGCCTTTGAAGTGATTATCGCTGGCCTCCTTTCCCCCTCATCCTGGACTCGAGCTGCAGAAGCCAGGTCCCTCGCCACCGCCCTTGGCACCCTTGGCCTTCTTGGATGGCTGCTGGTTCTCGCCTGCCCCCGTACGCACTGCACTGAGCCACTGGGACATCAAGTGTGCTGGTGTGATTCGCGATACTCGGCAATACGAGTGTTGTTGCTAGATGCTGGTCTAAAAGATCAGGAGCCTGAGCAACAAAAAGACAACGGACACAGCGTTACATTGTGGGCCTGTCTTTGCGGGGCCCTCACGTCCTGCAGCCAATTCAGCCTCCGAATGTGCAGCTCAGTGAACAACGTTTCTAACTTGAGGTGTCGCCTCACCGCCTGATTCGACGGCGCCCTGATCCTATCATTCTGTTTGGCTGTGAACCGTCCTCGTAGCACTATTCCTTGGCTTGTTGGTAGACGACCTGTTGGAGAGGCTCCAGGGATCTCTCCGTTATGGGGCTCCTCATGTTGAGCACGAAGGCCTCGGGCCCCGAGAGCGCCGCGTTAAGGATGAGCCCCGAGAAGACAATCCTTTTGAGCCTTGGGGGTGGTCCAGAACTTGCCCATCTTGTGCCAGGCCGTCTTCACGGCCTGCATCCTAAACTTCGTTCCGGCCGAGAACCCGTTGTTGTAGTGTTGACGTCTCCCAGGAGACCTAGCCTCCGAGAGAACCTGGCCCTGCAGGGAAACACATTTCTCGTGAGAACTTCTGTCGAGCACTCTTGAAGTTGGCCCTGCCCCTTGGACTATGTTCATATGCTTGTCCATATTCTGGGCTCCCCGATGTCACGAAGGACCGAACCGATGACGATGTTTTCCCGGTCCGCGACGTCGGGCAGGTGTTGGATGTTTGTGCCAACGATCTTGCGGGCAATCTCATCTACGAAGACAGACGTGGCCAGGTCCGTGACAGAAGGTAGCATGTGGGCCCATAACCGATATGTAGTAACATCTGCCCGGCCAGCAAAACATCATGATGGGTCGCTCTCCTGCCGTGTTGGCTTTGTCGGTGTGCTTCGGCAGCCGGCAGGATTGCGCCTGATGCCGAATTGCTGGTGCTCATCTAACTTGTCGAATGGTACGGCAAAGTAGGCATATACATATGTCAACATGCGGCGCTGAGAGCTTGTTCTGATCTTGGGCATCTTTGCCGTCGTCATCAGCATCACCATCATCATCAACATCATCATCATCAGCATCATCAGCAGCATCATCGTCATCTGGTGCATCATAATCTGGTGCTGGTTGTCTTGGTGATATCTGGTCTTCAGGGTCCTCAGGAGGAGGTGGCGCAGCTGCTCGAACGAAGGCATGTAGCACTCGAGTGCTGTTCCCAGTGACGCGTCCAGCGACTCCGAGCGAGGCGACAGCCTCCTGGCAGTATTCCTGTCCAGAACTGTCACTGGGGATAGGCTCATCTGGTCTTCGGAGTCCCCTTCGCTGTGGTCGCCTACAGTGCCAGTTGGGATCTGACAGTACACGGATAGGTCACCAGCTACATTCCACGCTGGTGATGTCTGCCACGATGGAAATGTGTTGATCATTTTCTTCAGCGCGGCCATGTCCAAGAGCGCTTGCTCGTGTGCAGCTCGGTAGTCAATCGGGTCATCCTCGTTCGGGTTGAGCCACTCCAGGTGTGACTGCAATGGTGTACTCTGTGCTCCTGGTGTCCGTCATTGAATTGGTACCTCCAGGATACAATGGTCACCTGTAGGGCAAGGCACCGATGAAGTATTCGTGCTCGTGCGCCTCCCGTGGTGCCGTCCTTCCAGCACTGGCTGATCCACTCCAACGCCGGTGCTCGTGAAGCCGGTGTGCGGCTGTAGTGCCGTCTTCTAGGTCCGCGACAAGTGCCATCCAGCAGCTTGGCGATTCGGTGCGCGTCGTAGAATTTGCGCTCCTGCCGCGGCTCCCAGGGTGCCTGCACCCGCTCTGCCATCCGTCGGTCAGTCTAGTCCCGCTTCTTGGCCTTGAGCTTTCGGTTGATTCTGGCAATCTGCAGGTTGAGATCATCATCATGTTCCTCTCTGTCTCTCTCTCTCTCTCTCTCTCTCTTTCTGGCATCTCGTCGTTGTTGGAGTAGAGCTTTCACCTCGTGGCTCAGGTTGAATGTGTCCTTCGCATCATCCACATACCCTGGCGCCTTGGTGAGCAATTGGGGGGATACGTTGTTGATGCACTGCGTGAGGCCTGTATTTCTCTGGTCCACGTTCCCTTCGCACTCCTACTGCTCGCAGTCATTCATGTGCGCGGCGAGCTGTGCGGAAGGAGACCGTCAGCGGGTGGTGATCCTTGGGCGCCACACAGCGGATGTGCTGTAGCGTCTCGCCCTTCTTCCACGAAGTCATGCGTTCCTGTATGTTGTCGCGGTGGTCGATGCCGCAGTCGGTGACTCTTGTATTGAAGTATGTGTTGATCAGCGCTAGCTCGTGTGTCTTCAGAACAGGTTTGATGATTCCATAGTTGACGCCGTCCTCAACACACTCGTTGGGTCCTGAAACGTATGGCGCATCTGAGACATCATCGCCACAGGGTTTATTGAGATCCGTGCCGATCATGGGGATACATCTCGATGGAAGTCTGAGAAGTTGTTCGTTGAACCACTGTGTCAATTCATTGGCTATGGTGCGCTGATAGGAGGTTGCCCCTTTGCCCTTGCCACGTGTCGGATAGTAGAGTGATAATGCTGCTGTGTCCTGTCGTCCTCTGCGATATCTTGTCATGATGCCACGACCCTGAAGACGACCACTTGCTGATGCAAGTCGGGTGATATACTGCGGGCGGAATCGACGAGCATGAAGACTGATGGCTACTACACCACAGGACGGATTGTTGTCTTTTCCATACCCCGCGTTCACGAACAATTGCTCAGCAGTGGCCGTCTTGTACGGTCCATCCCCTCTGGGCGCTCGGTCGCCGGTGCCCTGCAGGAAGACCACGTCGTGGCTCGCGTGCTCGGCGGAGATGTCCCCGAGTCTGCCTGGCGGCGCGGCGGCGTGCGGACGGAAGGAGACCGCTCGCCAGAGTCGCCAGACGCCGCCGCTCACGCTCCATGGCCCCGCCATCACGCCATCACTAGGCATGAACGTGAAAGGAACAGGAGGGAGCTGAAAAAGGTGGGCGCGTCAGTCGCAGCCAACCGCCGCCGCTCCCGCTCCATGACCCTGCCGCCATCCCCAGACATGAAAGTGAAAGGAACAGGAGGGAGCTGGAAAGTGTGCGTTTCAGTCGCAGGGGCATCCCTCTGGGCCGTGGTGCCACTGAGGAGGAGGAGGAGCAGCAGCAGCAGCAGCAGCAGCAGGATCGAGGAGCGATACTCGTCCACGATGGTTGCCGAGGGGGTCAGTGAAGGGGGGCAGGCCTTCGCAGAGGGCGGCAGGGCTTCTCAGAAGCCACGGGGCCCTCTGGGAAGCCCTCCGCGTCGTCGGGGAGGGGGCTGTGGAAGAAAAAGAGATCACCCTGAGACCACCTGTCGCCCAAAGGGCTGGTGGGATTCCTCAATTCCTCCCTCCAAACCGTATCCTATGAGAGTACACATTCCTATTGATTCTTCTCTTGCATTGCTATCGGAGGAGGAGGAGGAGGTGGAGGAGGAGGAGGCTTCTCAGGCGCCTTCCTGAGAGACGCCGCCTCCTCTCTGCCTGCCCTCCCGGGCGCGCTGACGATCCAGAGGCTCTTCCAGAGGGGCCTCTGGAGGCCTCCGTGGGCCTCTCCCGCTCGGGCCTCCGTCGGCTCGGGGGCCTAGGTCTCCTAGATGGGGTCGGAGTACGTCGGGCCCCCGACCAGGGAGGTGTTTCGCGTTTCGCACTTCGGGCCGGGCAGGGCCGTCTGGATCCACGGGTCCGTAAGCCGTTTTGGCGTGTGCCCGAAAGGCGTCGGGGGTCTCGGTAAGGATTGTCCTTCGTCTGGGCCGCGCCTCCTCTCAGCGGCCCGCCTCTGCGCTGGCTAGCCGTGAAGCAGGCTCGCGCAAACGATCCCCTCTTTCTCCTAGGGCGGCGTCAATTGACCACCTCAACCAGCCTGGCCGGGCCCATTCCTGGCCCAGGATGCGTCCACACGCCCCTCTGTTCCGGCCAGGGAGGCGTGGGAGCCGATCCTCGGAGCAGGGCGGTCCAGTTGATGTCCCCCGATTCCTCTCTTCCCTCCTCCCTCCTCCCTGGCCGTGCCCTTCCCCTCCGAGAGGAACGCTTCGCTCTTCTCCCTCCTCCATCCTTCCTGGCCGCGCCCTTCGCCTCCGAGAGAGGAACGCTTCGCTCGTCCAGAAGACGTGGACGCAGCGCAGGAGCAGCTGGCCCTCGCTGCCCCGCCCTCTGGAGGGCATGAGCGAGGCGGGGTGAGCGGAAGGGGGGGGGAGGGGCGGCGGACGGATCAAGGGGCCAAGGCCCATGAGGACGGCCCGCGAGGGGGCATGATCCCCCCCCTTGTCCTCCCGGATCCCGCCTCGTCCATCCTCGTGCTTCCCTCCTCGTCGTTCCCCCCACCGCCTTCCACATCTCGGCAGGGATGGAGAGCATGGGTTGCACATGCGTCGTTTCTCGAGCAGTGCGCGCTACACATTCGCACTCGTTAGGCAACGGTCCTAGAACACCTCTTCAGCAGTGGCGCTCTGCTGGGGTCTCGTCCGGCCAGTGTGTGTCATTGATGTTGTCGGACGGGGCTAGGACGAGGATAAATCCGTTCCAGAGCGTTCCGGAACGGTCTCAGAGCGTTCTCGAACGCTCTGAGAAGGCCGCGACGCCCGATATATCTTCCAGAGCCGCCGGATCTCAGAGATTCTCGAGTTATCCTCACCCGAATTGATCCTCGTCCTGGCATCGTCTCATGTTTCCTTTACTCCCTTACCGTACCTGCTTCTGCTCCTCCACTCCCTCCTACCCCGGCTTTCCCATGCTCCTCCCCTGGACTCAGGACCGCGGACATTCGGCTCCCTCCAAGGGCTGCGGCCCTCGGCACTCCCTCACTGGGCGACGTCAGGGGGAGGGTACGACAAAAACCTAGCAGTGACGAGAGAGCGGCAGGAACGCCGAACGGCGGACACGATGCCTGGTCCTCCCCCCCCTCCTCCTTCCCCTCCTCCTCCTACCCCTCATCTTCCCGCTGTGTCCTCTTGCCCTGGGACGGGCAGGTAGAGGAGCGGCGGAGGAGGGGGGAGGTCGAGGAGGATGAGCTCGACCTGCTGCTCCCCGCCCAACTCGCTTGTGTTTTCGCGTCCGAATGCGGTCCTGCTCGTCACAGTCGTCGGCGCCCTGGGTCCTCCTCCGCGCGCCCTGGCCGACCGACGCGGCGCCCGCGCTGCAGGGGGGAGAACCAGAGCGGGGAAGGAGGGGAGGCTCCCCGGACCTTCCAGCATCGCGAACCAAAACGCTCGAAGCTGGACGGGCCTCCGCTTCGCACTCCTCGGCGCCGGGCGGGAAGTCCTGGAGCCCCGCGCGGCGCGCGGCGAGAAGTGGTTCCCGGGAAGTCGGCGCGGGAAGTTGGTAAGTGGCCATCCTTGAGAAGGATTGGTTATTGGTTATTTGCAGTGGTGCGCGGGGGCAACGCAGACAGACCAAGGGCGCCCTCGAGGGCGCGAAGTTAATCGCACTTCGCGATGCGGCTCCGATTCCTCATTCTCCTCTTCTCCCCTGGGGGGCGGCGCGGGGGCGCGAAGCGCGACGATAGGCGCCCTTGTGCAGATAAACTGGCAGCTCCTGTTACGGTGTAGGTCGAACGGCATCCCCTCGCCCAGCGTGGAAGCATAGCCGCGCACACGACCTGCAGTGGGTCGGGCGGCTGCCCTTAGTCGAAGGGCCTTCCTTTCCATGCTCACCCCTGTGAATGGCCATTGGTCTCATCAATTTAGGTCCGCCATTGGATCGGCTGGCGAGCGTCACTAATGGCAGGGCGGGGGTAGATGACAAGGATGGGGATCACTCCTGCTCCAGCAGCCGCCACCGCCACCCATCCAGCTCCGCTTTCTTTTGCTATTTGATTGCATTACTCCTCTTGCCTTGGCCAGGAACAGCGAATGCAGAAACGCGATGATCAAGCAGCAGTTGTTGACCCAAGACCTCATCAAAATCCAGGCGCCATGGGCCAGCCAGGAGTTGGAGCAGAGAGGGAGGAGGAGGAGGAGGAGGAGGAGGAGGAGGAGGAGGAGGAGGAGGAGGAGGAGGAGGAGGAGGAGTGCCGGGGGGGGAGTGGCGGATGAAGAGAGAGCAACCGTCCCTAGCGCTGCTCTTTTGAGGTCGTCGCGCACGGACGTGACGTGACTGAGGCAGGCTTATGCGATAGATTAGTTGTTTTATTGATTGGTTGGTTGATTTCGCGTCCCTGTGTCCCTGGGCCAGACTACGTCAGGCTCGCATCATTTATGTATCTTCTATCCCGACGTTGAGCGTCATGAGTCTGCGCAGTGCGAGTGAGCAAGTTTGCAAGCGAAGCGGATACTCAGTGGGTGTCGGCTTCCCGATCCAGGCAGTCTTTGTGTGATTGGACGGGCTGGTTCAGGAGTCGCACTGGCAAACATGCTCGCAACCTAGCGCACGTAAGCGCGCGCATAGATACAAACATGTACGAGGCTGCTTTGCTCTGAATTGTTTTTTTCGGTGGCTTGGCACCTACACCTCGATTACGCTACGCGGGACGGTGCCGCTCTGACACTTAAGCAGACACTGTTCCAAGACCAGCGCAGCTAACGCGGGGAACGGAACGACACGGTACCGCGTCAAGAATTGGCTTGCCGTGTCGCCCCGCCACGATTGACCAACACTAAGATTGAGCACAGGCATCGAGAACAGTGAGAGAAGGTTGCAATGAAGTCGTTTTCCGATTCAGTCAGCGTGGAGACAAACATTCTGGCCGATCCGTTGGCGGACATGTACAGTTGTATGGGGCATTCGTTCAGTTGTGAGATGCCTCTTTTTGGGGGGGAGGCGGGTGGTTGCATGTACGCTCAAGGGTTACGCCATGAGTTCTTGTCGCGAGTTGTGTCATGGTTTGCCGCTCATCTTTGGGTGCTCAAACTTATGCCAACGGGTCTCGCCGCTGGTAGCGGCTGTAGATTGCGCCGTGGTTACTACGTCCTGTTAAACGTCAATGGGTCAGAGGTTGCACCATAGATTACGCCATGGGCTGAGGCCATAGGTTGCGCAATTGGCGCCGCTGATTTGTTGATGGACATGGATTGCGTGCCTCATGGGTGCTACTGTCTTTCGGGGGACCATAGGTTGCGGGCTGCGTCATGGATTGCGCCAACTGGTTGTGCCATAGGTTGCGCATGATGGTCCATGATTGCTTGATGACAATCGGTTGCGCCATGCGTTGCGCCATGATTTGCATTGCGTGCATTGCGTTGCATCGCTTCGCAGCGGTTTGCGCCGCTCTACGTTGCATCACATCGTGCTGCGTTGCGTCGCTTTGTGTCGCTTTGCGCTGCTTCGCGTCGCGTTCGCCTGCAGCGCCGTGCATCGGTCTTCGCTACAGTCGCCGCTCTGCACTGCGCTGCGTTCTTCGCCACGCTTCGTCTCGCGCTGCGTTGCTCTGCGTTGCGTTTGCTTCGCGTGGCCTCCTCTGGCTTTGCGTCGCTTTGAAAACGCCGCTCTGCACTGCACCTGCGTTGCGTTTGCTTCGCGTGGCCTCCTCTGGCTCTGCGTCGCTCTGGCAACGCCGCTCTGCATCTGCACCGCGTCGGCTGCACCGCTCTCTGCTCGGGGCCCACGCTGGAACCGGACAGCCAGGGAGGGGGACGGGCGGATTGCGCGGGGGGGGGGGGGGCAGCCCGCCATCGGCGTGGGTCGAGAACTCGGGCGCGCCAAGGCCGCGGCCGCAGCTGGGACTCCTCCTCCTCCTCCTCCTCCTCCTCCTCCCTCCTCCTCCTCCTCCTCCCTCCTCCTCCCTCCTCCTTGTCCAGGATGACTGGGGGGGACACGAGCCTGGCCTCGCTCGAACGTGGGTACGTTTCTCGGCAAGGACCACCGAGGATCACTGTTGTGCACCTGGCGAAGAAAGGCACGCACGAAAGCGACAAATGCACAGGGAATGGACGTTCGAGCGGCAGGGCACACTACAGGGGGGGGGGCAATGTGTCGTGGAGGACGCGGCCACCTGGGGCCCTCGTTGACGAAGCTCCGTAGAGGGTTGGCCATGCTGAGCGCGGCCTCTGGGCGGCGGCTCAATGTGCGGACGCGCTTCACTCGGTGGGGCTGCAGCTTGGGCCCCCTGCTATGTGGGAAGGGGGTGCCCGAGGGAAGCCGCTTAGTTGGAAGAGGGGGGCATTTACACAGAAGCGACTTGCTGGGGCCCTGGCCGAGGCCACTTAATGCGGGGGAAGATACCGGTGCAGGCCCAGTGCGTGGACGCGCCCTCTGCGTTGACGCAGTCCGCAGGCCCTCGATCGGGATATCCGTGAGCAAAGAGAAACTTGAACGATACAGCCAAGACGCTAGAACAAGGACCACTTCGGGCTCAGGAGGGGCTATACTTTTCTGGCCGCTCCTTGGGGTCCAGGCCAGGCAACCTGTTCTTGGCTGAGGCTCGCCGTGGCCAGAGCAGCCCCCTCGTTCCCGGCTCGGCTTTCCTTATGGTATCCCGATGATTGTAGACGGGCGATTCTGGGAGCGGGCTCTGCGTGCGGACTCGCTCCACTGCTACGTCGGCTGGGGCTCCCAACGGGTGCACAGAGGCACGTGAGTGGCGGGCGGCCTTGGGCCTGGGCGCAAGTGCGGCGGCGCGCCCCGCTGGGGCCTTCTCCCGGTGTGGAGCAACGCCCGCACGGCGTGCACCACTCTGGGCACCGGGCCCTGCGCACGCGGGCGCGCCGCCCCACCGCGGCCTCGGCTCTGGTTCCCGACGGGCGGGGCAGGCAGTGCGCGGCGGGGCCTACTTTGCCCCCCCCCCCCCCTCCCCCCACCCCTCCTCCGCTGGCAGCTCCCCCTCCCGCCCCTCCTCAGCTGGCCGCTCCCTGCTTCCGGGCCCGCGCGCCGCCGAGGCGCGCGCGCAGGCCCTGTCCGAGGGGCTCGAGACGATGAGCTCGGCGCTGATCGGGCCCGCCGTTAAGCGGCAGCCCGTGGTGCTCCCGTTGTCTGCCCTCGGGAAAAGGCGCAGACGTCCATCGGCCCTCCTGGGCGGAGTCTCTGCGAGGCCGCCCTTGCCGATGGCCTCGGGCGGCTTCCAGAAGCTCTTCGCACGGCTTTCGGATCGCCTCGCAGTTGCTCCGATTCTGGCGCGGGTGGCGAGGCCATGCTGTGATCCCCCCATCGGAGATTTGACACAGCCTCCCTCCTCTCCGACATGTAGGCGTCGTGGTCACCTCCCAACGGGCGTAGCAACCGCTTTCTGGCTCCCTTTCAGAACCCCAACATCCTGACACATCGGTCCAGCTCGAGAAGCGCAGTATCCAGTTGCACCAGCAGATTCGGCCACCGCGTCGGCGCAGCACTCTGTTCGCCTTTCTTCTCCGCGGAGCCAAGTTGCCAGAGCCATGTAACAGCTCGCTTCACCAAAGGCAGGGAGGCCGCCCGTAACATGTAGGAGGTACGAGGAGGAGCATAAAGGTGGACACAACGGGGCAGTGGGAGGGGATAGTTATGCAGTGACTGGGGGGTCTTGGGGCCTCCTTGTGGTGTCTCGGGTCTTCTTGGGGCCCTCGGGGTGATTTTTTGAGGGGCATCTTTGGGCCCTCCTGGACTGTGCTGGGGCGTTTGAGCGCTCTTTGGGGGGCTTCTTGTGCCATGTTGGCGGATACTTGGGCCGTCTTGGGCTGACCACAGGACACTATTGAGCCTTCTTAGGGCCTTGTTGGGTTCCTCTTGGGCCGTCTTGGGGACTTCTTGTGCCACTCTTCGGCCGTCTTGGGGTCAATCCTTCTTGGACCGAACGGCGAAGTCAGGATGGATACGGCCCTTGTTCAGGAACGTCAGGGTCTCCCCCATAGGAATGAAGAGGAGGGGTCAGGGCAGTCTTCCAATACCCTGCCCCCCCCCCGCAATTGAGGACAAGAGTGATGGGGCGCTTGGGCTGCCGTGCCAGGGCTGCGGTGCTCTTGCGCCGACGGAAACAAGTCAGGCGAGTGTGAATTGAAGGGGGGCAGCCAGGGCAGCGGAAAGTAAACACCGTCGGCAGGAGGAGCAGGAGGCATGGCGAGGAGGCGCAGGAGGGAGGACGGCAACGAGGAGGAGCACCAGGAGGAGGAAGAGGAGGGGAGGGCCGCGCCGTTCTGGTTTCGAGGCCCGCATCCTTGAATGCCTTGAAGTAGGAGGAGAGGAGAAGGAAGAGAAGGAGGAGGAGGATGATTATGATGAGGAGGAGGAAGAGGAGGAGGAGGAGGAGGAGGAGGAGGAGGCGGGGAGGAGGAGGAGGAGGAGGAGGAGGAGGGGATGAGGAGGAGCCGAGGAGGAGCCGCAGATGACGCCGAGGACGACGGCGTCGGCGACGGCGACGGCGACGGCGACGGCGACGGCGACGGCGACGGCGACGGCGACGACGGCGACGGCGACGGCGACGGCGACGGCGACGGCGACGGCGACGGCGACGGCGACGGCGACGGCGACGGCGACGGCGACGGCGACGGTGACGGCGACGGCGACGACGACGACGACGACGACGACGACGACGACGACGACGACGACGACGACGACGACGACGACGACGACGACGACGACGACGACGACGACGACGACGACGGCGCGCGCTGGCGAGGCCCGAGGGGTGGCCCCTTCTGCGGCCGCGCCCCCGGGGGGGCTTGGCGCGGATCGGCCATGCTCGCCTCGCCGTGGCCTCCGCGCAGGAGGGGGGGCCTCCCCCTCTTTCGGCGACGAGCCCAGGCGCTCTTTCACCGACATGGGCGCTTTCGTGGCTTCTCGACGGTTGTCCGGCTTCGGGGTGCGCTCCAGCTGCTGCGTCTCTCCGCGGGCGTTCCAGGGGTGCCCGGATCGTCCCGAACGGCCGCCAGAGAGCCGAGTTATGACCCACACGCAGCCAGGTGTCCGAGGAGGGACGGGCCTTCTCCGACGGCTCGGAAGTCCTGCGGCCTTCCGAAGAGTTTGCGGAGCCTTCCCCCCGGAGACACAGGAAACTTCCTAGAAGGCCAGAGGGCTTCCGAGAAGCCCCGCTGCCTTCTGAGAAGGCCTTTTGCTTCTCATTTTCCCCCTTCGCTCGCCGCCGGCTCCCGTCCCCGTGCTCGTCCTGCTGCCTCCTGCGTGAGCCTTTCCTCGGAGCTGGCTGAGGCAGTGCCTAGGCTGCGCATGACCGCGACCCTGCCCTTGGTTGTAGCTCAAGGGAGGTTAAATTCGTGGTATATCCGCGGTCGACAGCGTGGCCTCTGCGAAGGTGTTGACCCAGTGCGGTGGGGGAAGCATCGACCCCGATCGAACTTTCTCATATCTTCGACGACATGTTTTTGTTTGTCCATCCTGGCGTCTTTCGCAACACGAAGGCTGCTGCTCCTGCCTGAAGAGGCCATGGTGTCGAGGCCTTCTCCTGAGGCTGCCCGAGGCAGCGCATAGGCTTGAGTCGGGCATGTCCCTCTACAGAAGGAAAATGCAATAATATCATATGATTACCTGGTCACGATGTTTCGCACTCTTTTGACAGCTTTGGGGTCTCCTTTCTGGCTATTCATTTTTCTTTCCAGGAGGACATGCCCGACCTAAGCCTGGGCCCCAGAGCTTGACGGAGGCCGACCGGCGGCCTCCCTTGCTCGGTTCTCGAGAGGACGCGCCGCGGCCGCCGTCTCCGCGGGCCTGCTCCCGCTGGGCGCCTGGCCCTTTTGCGGGTGCCCCGTTCGCGCGGCGGGGCGCTCCGCTCAAGCAGCCGCCCCCGCCCTCGTTCCGCCTCCGCGGTGCCCCCTTTGCTCGCTCGCATCCCGACCTGTGGGCCCTCCAGCGCCGCAGCGCCGCGCGCCCGCCGGCGCCGCGGCAGCGCACGGGGCTGTGCTGCAAGGGGGGCCACGTCCACCCCCGAGGGCGGCACGTGCCCGCCACCGTGCCGCGGGGTGCCGAGCGGAGCGTGCCGGGGCCCTTTGTCGCCCCGGGGCCCGTGCTCGGTGCTCCCGCGTGCTCCCGCTCTGCCGCTCCAGGGCGGGCTCCCGTGCCCGCTCCCGCCTGCCCGCTCCAGGGGGTGGCTCGAGCTTCGAGGCTCGCTTCCCAGCGGTCTCGGATCGTCCTGGGCCGCCCTCGTGGCCACGGCGGGATCCGCACCTGAAATCTGGTAGGAACGCACCCCCGGGTGATTTCCTGGAACCCCTGATGCAGGGCAATCCGCAGGGGGGAAATGGGCTCAGGGTGGAACGCATCGACCCCCCAATCGCCCACTGATCGCCGTCAGGTGCCTGATAGCCCAGCCCGCTGAGGAAGGTGCGGATTCTCTATCGGGGGCCTATATCCCCGATCTATCGGCGATGTATCGCCGATTCCAGGTCAATGTTTCACACCCTGAGCCAGTGTCTCCCTTAGCGTTCCCTTTCAGACTGGGGAGAGGGAGATCCCAGACTTCAACGTCTCAAAACACTCAAGGCGGAGATTCTGTGCGTCGTTGCTGGCCTCTGGGGGCCTGTCGGGGATCTGGGGCCGGCAAAAGACAGCTCAGGCTGAGAAGCCCGTCCTGGGTAAAGGGTAGGGAATCATGGATGGGGACCCCGTGTATGGAAGAGTAGACCAGGACATCGGATTCACTGGCCAACGCCATTTCCCAGACCTGATTCCATCCGGAGGTTCTGGCCAGGAAACAGGTAAGCAACGCTGACACACATGAAATCCACCGGGCCTCCCATGCCCTCATTCCTCCTCTTCGGTCCTCCTCGCAGAGGCCTGCGAGGCCTGGGAACCTGGCAGCCAGTGCCTTGGAGAGAAGGGTAATGATTCGTTTTGCGTGTCATCCTATGGGTGCTCTCAAGTGCTAGCATTCTCCATTGCTTCTCCAGCTCTTCTCCCCCGCCCAGGAGGCTACCATTATGAGGCTTCGCCTGTCCACCCCGTGGGCCTCCTTCTAGCCTTCGAGCCCCCTCAAGCTCCCCACGCTCTGCCTCCTGCTTCCTACCTGCGAGCCCACGAGTCTCTCTCTGCTCTTCGGGCCTCAGAAGGTGGACTTCCGGTTCGGCCTGCATGGTGGTGGAGGCCCACGTGTGTGTGTGTGTGGTGTGTGTGTGTGTGCGTTTGTGTGTGAATATGTGTGTGTGGGTGGGTGGGTGGGTGCGTACGTGCGTGCGTGTGTGTGTGTATGTGTGTGTGTGTGTTTGTGTGTGTGTGTGTGCGTGTCCGTGTGCCCGTGTGTCCATGTATACGTGTGGTATGCGTGTCTTCACGTTTGCAGTAGGTTCATCTCGTCGGATGTTATTCCTGCGAGGTCAAATTCTGACTTTGCCCTGGTCCGAAATCTGGCTTAATCCCGCCAAACACGGCTTAGTCCCGCTGAATCCGGCTTGATCGCTCAGTCCGCAGCCGAATCCGGCGCAGCAGCCCCCCAATGGGACTTCATCCTCCTCAACCCTCCCGACGAAGACCTCGCACCAGTTGCCTCCTGAAAGTGGAAACCCATGCCGAGAAACTACCTGCTTTCCTCTGTGGTTCCCTGAGTTTCTTGGGTTTCGATGGTTTTGCGATCGAAAGCGTGACGTTCCCACGCCAAAAGACAATGCACGTCCTGGGGTCTCAGTGTTGGGTTTCTTGTGGACGGCTTCTTGTGGTCGAGCTCCTACTGCAGCACATCCTGTGGATCTCTCCTGCCTCTCCTTCCTCCTCTCCCCGCCTCTGTCTGCCCTCGCGGCTCGGGAGGACATGCTGTGGCCGCCTCGCCCCTGCTGCCGTCGAGGCCGCCGCCCAACCCCAGTCGCCACGCCGTCGTCGCCGGGGTCGCAGTCTTCGTCGTCGTCGTCGTTTGTCGTCGTCGTCGTCGTCGTCGTCGCTGACCGTTGTCGTCCTCGTCGTTGACCGTCGTTGTCCGTCAGTCGTCGTCGTCGTCGTGGTTGTCCATCGTCGTCATCGTCGTTCTTCGTTCGCCGTCCGTCCATTATCTTTCCTCGTCGTTGTCCTCGTCGTCCATCGTCGTCGTTCATCGTCGCGTTGTCATCGTTCGTCCCACGCCGTCAGAATTGCAAAGAACTCGCGGTCGTCTCCGCCGACCCTGAGAAGTGACCAGATCAAGCGCGCTAGAGGCGGGAGGGAGCCATGGGCAAGGGGCAGTGGCGGCGTAGACGTGAGGGCGAACATGTAATTTTCCTAGGCTGCCCCTGGACTTGGGGACATTGGAAAGAGCGCGTTTTGTGAGCGCTTGGAGGGGCGGGGGTCCGGCCCCCCCTCCCTTGGGGTTCGAACCCCCCCCTCCCCCCCTCCCCCTGCCCCCCCCCCCCCGGTTCAAACGCGCCGCCGAATGTTTCCAAGGCAAGCGCCCGTGAAACGCGCTCCCTCGGACATTGGGGGTTCTTGGGCCTTCATGTGGGCCTGCTGGGGTCTCGGGATACCTGTTGGATGGGTTGGCCTCCAGCGGTGCGGCGGTTCGCGTGGTGCTTTTGGGCCTCTCTGCTGGGGGCGGTCTCGGCAGCCTCTTGGTCCTCTCTGCAGTGCCTCTCTGCGACATCGTGGGCGGGCATGGGGGGTGCTCTTGGGCCATCGTCGTCGTCGTCGTCGTCGTCGTCGTCGTCGTCGTCGTCGTCGTCGTCGATCTTTCGTCGTCACCCATCTTTTGTCGTCGCCGTTCGCAGTTTCGTCGTTCGTCGTTCCTCGTCGTCGTCGTCGTCGTGGACGCTCTTGCGACCAATGCGGCGAGAACGCCGAGATCACACAGAGCCCGAGGGATTTGGCCGCCTCGGGCTTCTCGGGCTGGGACCCCCGCAGAGGAGGCGATCAAGAAGGGACGGGTGCTCCCCCTCGGCTCGGCTACGACCTGTGTCGACTCAACCGGGCCGGGTTGGCGAACTTGGAGAGCCCCGGGGAGGAGGGCTTCGGATTGAAAGGAGTCTCCCAGAACTACCTCCGGACAAAACCCCAGGGCTCCCCCTTCAAACGCCGACAGGGTCGGCAGGTTTGTCCTTCGTCCGTCGTCGTTATCCATCCTCGTCGTCCATCGCTGTCGTCGTTGCCGTCGTCGTCGTCGTCGTCGTCGTCGTCGTCGTCGTCGTCGTCGTCGTCGTCCGTCGTCGTCCGTCGTCATCGTCGTCGTCTGTCGTCCGTCGTTGTCAACCGTTTCCGTTCCACGTTATTCCACCACCTTTGTTGGTCGTCGTCGTTTGCCGTCGTCGTCGTCGTCGTCCATCTTTCGTCGTCGTCGTTCGCCGTTTCGTTTGTCGTCGTCAACGTCGTCGTCAACGTCGTCGTCAACGTCGTCGTCGTCGTCGCGGTCAGTGGGTGGGGCCCATGGTACGCCCCCCCCGATATTCATGAGAGGTTGGAGTCAGGGGGGAGCAGGGTGGCACGCGTGTCCTCCCTTTCCTTTGTCCTGCCCCCCCTGGCCTCCCTCCCTCCCTTTCTCTGCCTCTCTCTCTCTTGTCCTGTCGGGGCTAACCTCGTGATGTCTCACCCCGGAGATTCAGAAGGAGGCCCCGCCCGAGAGAGTCCAGGTCTGGGCGGAGCGGGCGTGACGCACGTGGAGGGACGAGAGCGAGGTTGGCTGGGTGGGCAGGGGGCTTCGGCACTGGCGCTGGACGTGCCGGAAGGACGAAAAACGTCGAGACGGAGCGGGCGGGCTGTCTGCTGGGGGGGAGGGGCGGGGCTTGGTGGGAGGGAGGGGAGCTGCGGCGCCGGTGCCGTGCGTGTGGAGGCAGAGAGGTCGGGCGGGGGGGGGGGGAGGGGGAGGGCGCTGCCTGCTCGGGGAGGATCGCAGGGGCGGGGTGCGCGGGAGGAGGGCCTGCGGTGCTGGTGCTGCGCGTGTCGAGCTCAAGGGGCGATCCAGGAGGGGCCTCACCTCGGAGAGATCGCGAGTTTCTTGGCATCGCTCGGAGGTGTGCACTTTTCCTCGGCGAAGCCAATCGAGGAGCATGCTGGATCATCGTGCGAAAACTACACGCGCGAAGCCGACAAATCCAAGGGGAGTGGACGTCCGAGGGCTTGGTATCGCTCGGACGTGTGCATTTTTTCTCGGCGGGGATTATTCAGGAGCATCCTGGATCATCCTGCGAAAAAACCACGCACGAAACCGAACAAAAACACAGGGAATGGACGTCCGAGCGATGGCCAGGGCGATGGCAGGGTGTGGCATCTCCTCCTCGGCGGGAGGCTGGGGGGAGCCCGACGGAAGGGCGGTCCGCGGGCGGAGGCTCGCGAATGCAGAGCATCGCCCCTGCGAGATGTCAAGGTGTGGTCGGGCTCGGGCTCATCGGGGGCCCGCCAGAGAATGCTCGGAGCTCTCGGCACAGGGGGCCTCCAGGCACGCGTGCGCTGGTGCTGCGCGTGTCGAAGATCACCCAGGGCGTTCCACTACTCGCAAAGTGCCCACTCGCAGACGTCCGAAGAAAGCACACGTCCGCCTCGATGTAATGGATCGTGAATCCCCCATGGCGGATCCAGGCCATTTGCGAGGTCGGAGCTCCAGACCGTGTGCCTGAGGGTGTCTGTGACAATACAGTCCTGCTGACGCGCTGCCACGCGGGCCTCTTTGGGCTCAGGAGAGTCTCGGGTTCCCCGGCCGCTCCCGAGATCTGGGCCGAGCCACCTGCGCTCGTGGCCGAGGCTCGCCGGCCAGAAGAGCCCCTTCGTTCCTTCTTCCGCGTCTCTTGCGGTGGCACGGTGGCTGTAGCCATTTTGGCACAGGCTCGCGAGCGGGGCCGAGGCCTCGATCCGTCTCGCGCCGGCACTCGCCCCCGCCCCCCCCCCGGGTGTGAGCGGCGGCCGCCATGCAGGGGCCCCTGGACACGCGCAGCGGCGCCAGGATGGGCAGGTGGACGCGGATGCACTGGTGCCTGGACCTCGAGGCGGGAACGCTGCAGTCCAGCTGCCTAGAGGGAGACGGCGGCCAGGTTCTAGGCCTCCCAGGTGGGGTCCGAGGGGATGGGGTCGGAGGATCGCGCCGCATCGCCGATGCATCAGCGATGCGTTGGCGATGCGTTGGCGATCCTCCGACCCCATCTACTCGGACCCCATTAGGGAGGCCTCTACAGGTGGACCCGGCGACGGCGGCGGCGGCGCATGAGGTGAGGCTCCTTGAAAAGCTGCAGCTGAATCCCGACAAGTGCGAGCTAACGTTCCGCAAGGGCTCCTGCGTGTTCCGCCTGAGGGCCCAGTCCGAGGAGGAGGCACGCGAGTGGTTCGAGAAGCTCAAGCTGGGCGGGGCCGCGCCAGGATCGAGCACGGGGGCCTCCGGCGGAGCGCCGAGAGGGGGTGCGGCGAACGGGACGGCCTTCGAAAGAGGCAGGGGCTCGGGGCTGGATGATGCGAGCCTCCAGCCACGCGCTTTCTCTTCCTTCCTCCGTCCTCCCTCCTTCCTCCTTCCTCCTTCCTCCTCCTCATTCTCCTCATGCTCCTTTCTCTTCCCTCCTCGACCACCAGCGCGCTCGACCTCCGATTCTCCCCCTGCCTCTCCCTCCTACTCTAGCCCCCCAGCCTTTGAAGGTGCCTCCGAGCTCTTCTGAGAGGCCCCCGTGCCTTTTCAGAAGGCCCCTCCCTTCGCCTCAGCCGCCTTTCTGTGCGCCGCCAAGTTCTGCGCACTCACCCCAGAAATCCAATGTCGCGTGTGACTTCAGCGACCATGTGGCCCCATAAGCCGTAGCTCTCGATCTTGTCCCCGAGACCGACTTTGTGCCCCACGTGGTTTTTGGTATGGTCCCGGGGCCAGAACATTACGCCCTGAGCCCGAAGCCAATAAACAATCGCCGTCATTGAAACAATGGACTTTCGTCGCCAGCCGGGCCGCTTCTGCGCCCGCGGTTGGTGAACAGAGTCTTCCGGCAGAGGCCAGCCAGGGGGTCGCCGTGAACCCGTCCTGGAGGGCAGGCCGGAAGGGGGCCCGACCAGTGCCATATTGCCAGCGTGTCTCGGGGACAGCGCCTCCCCCCCCCTCTGCTCTCCTCCCGTTCCGCCGTGCCCCATTTCGCTTCCTGCGCGTCCCGCTCGTAGCCCCACTGGCACCCGCACCTGTTTCGGCTCGATTGCGCCCGCTGGCTAGAAAATCTCAGGGACAACGCTGGGGGGGACAGGCTCAGGGGGGGGTGCAGCGACCCGCATTCGCCCATCCATCGCCGGCGTAGGAACGCCTGGACTCGCTATCGAGGCCTGTCGCCGAATTATCGGCGATGCATTGCCAATTCAACCTCGATGTCCCCCCCCCATGAGCTGGTCCCCCCCCTCTTTGCCCTTCAGTGCCGCCCTGCCTAGGCATCCGATGCAATTTTTCTCAATAATTACGGCCCCCCCGCAAGTCGTCCACAAGACTCTTTCCTCGGGGCCGGCTTTTCGTCGTGGGCCGTTTCTTGACAAGGGCCGCAGAGGAAGCACACTGCGAACACCTCGCTTGGCTGGATTGTTTCGATACGGCGGAGGTCTCTGTCCCCCCCCTCCTGTGGCGCACACCAGGGTGACCTCCGAGACCCTTCGCCGGAGTGACCTTGGGTGCGGACCCAATGCGGTCCCCCGATCGTTGACCGCGAAGCTGTAGCAGCGGCTTGCGCGCCCAGGTTTGGCCACCCCGCGTCCCCCAAAAATCCGCGCAACAAAAGTCATTCTTACCCTGGGTCACTCCTGCGTGTAGCCGACCCACCCGCTCCTTTCAGACGGTTTCCCCGAGGTCCCCATGCCCCCCGCGGCCACCCCAGGAGGCCCCCAAGCACCGCTGGAGACCTCTGCAGCTCCAGAGCCGTCCCCTCGTCTTCTTCATTGTCCTCCTCCCTCGTCCCTCCTCCTCGTGCCCCTCCTCGTCGTCCTCCTCCTCTTCCTCCTCATCCCGCTCCACCCCTCCTCTTTCTCGCCCCACCTCCCGTCCCGATCCTCGAAAAGAGAGACGGAGAGAGAAATAGAAAGCAAAAAAAACAAATTAGCTTAGTAAAGGACGCAGCCGTATGCAGTATGCAGCTGTGCACCGCAGTCGTGAGTATGATCTTCGGTGGAGCTCCCTATGGGGCCACGAGACGTGTGAGGGGTGTGCCGACATGGGTGCCCGTGGGGCCTTTGGTGGAGCTCCCTCTGGAACCACGAAACGTATGAGGGGTGTGCCAACATGGGTGTGGCGGACGCATGTGGACGGTGGCACTGGGGTCTTCGGCAGAGCTCCCTATGGGGCCACGAAACGTGTGAGGGGTGTGCCGACATGGGTATAGCGGACGCATGTGGACGGTGCCTCTGGGGCCTTCGGCGGACCTTCGGTGGAGCTCCCTATGAGGCCACGAAACGTGTGAGGGGTGTGCCGTAGTGAGGGGGGTGACGGGAGGAGGAGGAGGGGGAGGAGGTGGAGAGGAGGGACGCGGGGACCGCCACTTCTAAACGAGGACCCAACACCACAGGATGTTTGTGAGAAACCACGACGACGACAATGACCCGATGCGTTCGGCATCTCTAGACACCGCCCTCCCTCCTCCTCGCCTTCCGACAAACAGTTTTACCGTCGGCGGCGGCGATGTCCCGAAACAATTGCCGCTGGCGCTCGAGAGTGCCCAGGATGGCCCGATGGAGCCCCAAAGCGGCCCTGGAGGGCACAGCCCTCCCCCCACCCCTAGGAGAGCGTCTTGGGGTCATCTGGGGCTGTCTTGAGCCCTCCTGTGGCGTTCGCGAATCAGCCTCCCTGGCCGCACACGAAGTTGTACCGGATATTTTTCGACATACCAGACCATCTCTACGTACATAGATACCAAATGGGTTAATACCATGGCACGCTCAAAAAAACATGTATGTGCAAATGCATACACATATAGTCAAAAACATGTTGTTGGCAGCTGTGTGCGTTTATATTTGTACAGCATACATGCACGATGATGCCAGGGCTGCGTGTGCAAGAAGCTTGCATTGATTCGAAGCATACACAGCATGGTATCCACTAGTCACGCTCTTTGTGGGCCCCGGAAAGGGCAGGGCCGGTTTTTTCACTGTTTCCAAAAAATGTCCCTTCAAAATGGAAGCCGCAAAAAAACGGCGACCGGAAACGGCAAAAAAACGGCTCCAGGATTGGAACCGGAGCCGGAACCGGTCAAAAAACGGCGACGGAACCGGTAAAACAACGGCGTTGGAACCGGCACAAAAGCTGCAAAACGGAACCGGTAAAAAAACGGCCCTGTCGTTTTCAGGGCCCACTAAGGTCACGCTGGCTTGTCGCAAGCGCAGGGCGCGAACAGGACGAACCAGATGGAACTAAGCATGCGTGCGACACAGCTGCGTGTCATACTATAAAATTGCATGGGCACAGCTTTGCCCGACCACACCGTCACATGGGACAGGCACGACGCATAGCACATGAACACCCGATCGGACCGCAACGAGAAACCACGGCACGGTTCAGTTCAGCTACACAGCAAGAGGAGCGTGTCCGCGTGCATAATGTATTCTTGCTGATGAATAATACTGCCAGAAGACGCCGCGTTCTCTACACTTGTACAAATGTCATGTGTTTGTTGTCATGGAGGTTTTCTTACTCCTCCGTGCAACAAGCAATCTCTTCTGCACGCGTCCGATTCCCTGCGGCAGCGTGATGAAACAAAATGCCGCCTCGATTGTTGCTGTTTTCCGCGGCGGCCCCCCACGAGTGAAACACGCGGCCACGTCCATGTAGCAGCGCGGTGGGACAACGGTGTACCCGCGCACCAGACGTATTAGACTTCGCTATGGTGTTGCGTTGCCTCTGCTTTATGTGCAATTTCATCTACCGCGCTTTCTTTTTCCATTATCCAGTCGAATAGCCGAATAGCTGGCTGGAAGCCCCTTCAATGTTTTGCGGTGTTTCCTGCTAGGCTGAATCGGTCGATATGCCTTGGGTGTGGCGGGTCCTTGGTTTCCAATGTTTTTTGGGGGCTAGCGCTTGATCCACCGATAGACCCTTCCTCGGCTAACCCATGGCTTCCCGCTTGCTGGAATCCCAAATCCATGGGTCAGCCGAAATAATACAACAAGTGTAAATATCCTGCCTCCTCGGCATTATGTTTAAACTTGTTAGCTGCACTCACCACTGATTTTATGTTCTCTGCTCAAGTGGATTTCGGAATCCTGTGAGCGGCCGAGGTAGCAACATTGTTAAACTCTTTAAGATGATGGTGGCAGGCATCTCACGGAAGGAGGAACTGTAGGGACGACACCAAAGTTGAAGCAGATGCGAGACAAGAAGCATTAACACACCACCTGTGAACTCGCCGATTGGGGGTACGTCCGAAGGGGGTGGGTGGGTGGCTGGGAAGTCGCCCTGGTCGTCTGTTCCCTCCCCTCCATTCTCCCCCTCTTCTCCATCCCCTACGACGACGAAGACTTTGACGACGTTGCAGGAGACCAGGGTCCTGTCGACGAGCCCGAGGGCCCGCATGAGCCCGCCCGGGAGCCGGGCTCGCTCTTGGCGGCGCTGATGGCTTCCAATTCCTTAAAGAACTGGGAGCCGGGGGAGGATCGGTGGACGAAGAACCAGGGTGGTTCGAGGGTCGAGGTGTCAGGGTGGATCTCTTCGGACGTTTTTTTGTATGTTGTTAGTGTTCCCTGGAGCTTTCGTGCCGTCAGCGCTAGGTCCGCCTCGAAATGTTTGGCAGAACGCACCCAGGGAAAGACATAGAGTGTGTGTGTGTGTTTTGAGGTCGGGGAGGGGCCCTATCTCATGTTTGTTCCCAGTGGCGAACGCTCAGGTGCTCTGGCCACGAGAGGAAAGCCACGACGGGCGCTTGCGCCTGAATCTCGAGCCCAAACAGGTAGAATTGGATCGAGGGCTCTGGTCGCACCGTTTTCCCCACCGCTCCCGTGTTGTTGGGCCATCGCTCCTCAACATCGATTCGCTCAGGGCTCTATCTGTACATGTCTGCCAGCGCAGTTCCCAGACAGTAGGTTCTTCACGCTCGATGTGCACTCGATGAGGTGCAACATAACTAGGTGGTGTAAGCCATGTGGTGTGATTGAACTTTTGTCAACTCATGAGGTGTCAAGTGCACTGCTCGCGTAATCATCCCACCCTTCCAGATGCAACTTGTTTCGCGAAAACCATTCGGCCTCGATTGCGGTTATCGATCAGCACTTGCTAGCGCATCTTTGCGGCCGCGCTGGTGCGCGAGCACTCGCGCGCAGGGCGACTGGATGGTTTGGCACAACTGATGCGGCCGCGATGGCGCTTACTGATGGGAACTTCGCAGCGCGTCTCAAGGACCGTGCTGGCGCAAGTGGATTGTGCGCGGGTGGGCCCGGTGGCGACGCATGGAGCAGGCTGAAATCCAGGAGAGGCGGAAGGATCACATAGCCAGGCGAAGAACCCAATCCTTTGTAAACACAGGGCGGCCACATACAGGACCGCTGAATATATGATGACACAGTGATCCCACAAAACGTGCGACGGGGGTGCCGACATCGGGCGGAGTTCTTTGCGGACCCAGCCATTGGGGCCCTCGGCGGCGGCCCTTTAGGAGGCCGCGAAGCGTGTGAGTGGTGTGCCGGCATGGGGCGGGCCACCATGCGGATCTTGCCGCTGGGGCCAGCAACAATGCGGACGCAGCCAGTTGGGCTTTCGGTAAGCGTCATATGGGGCCGCGAAGCATATGAAGGGTGTTTCGAAATGGGGCGGGCTACCGAGTATGCGGACCTTGCCGCTCAGGCTGTCGGTGGAGCTATGGAGCCACTAAACGTGTGATGGGTGTGCCGAAATGGAGGTGTGAGGGAGAAGGGGGGGGGGCGAGTCACCATGCGGACGCAGCCACTGGGACGTGTAAGTGGTGTGCCAGAGGAGATGATCCCTATGGGGCCACGAGTCGTGGGAGAGGTGTGCTGACACGGTGGTGGGGATTATGATGGTGGTAACGATAGAGATGATGGTAATGATGACGATGATGGTGACGACGGCGATGATGACGATGATTTCGATAACGACGGTGGTGACAACAAGGACAAAGCGGAGGAGGAGGATGAAGAGGAGGGTGAGGATGAGAACGAGGAGAAAGAGACGCGCAGCGCTGCGGACTCAGCATGGGGACCCAAATCACATCAGGGGAAAAGCGGATGCGCGCATCCATGCTGACATCCCGATGTGTGCCATTTCGTGGGTTGAATTGTGCGTCCAACGCACATGTAAGATGATGCCAATCCCCCAACATCATTACCGCCCGAAGGGTGGTATGATCGAAGATGAATGTGGTGCAAGTTATGCGCTGTAAGCGATGCGGTTTATGACATGTGGTCTAAGCTGTGTGGTGTATGCTATGCGGTGCAGTCTGTGTAATGTAAGCTATGCGGTGAAGGGTATGTTGTGTAATGTTGGTAGCGTGAGCTATGTTGGGAAAGGTATGTGATGTAAGCTAGGTGGTGCAAACCATGTAGTGCAAACTATGGAAGCTATGTGGTGTAGGGTACGTGGTGCAGGCTACGCGGTCTGAGCAATGTAGTGCAATCTGCTTCGCCTAATCTGTGGTGCAATCTCTGTGGTGAAAGCTATGTGGTGCAAGCTATGTGGTAGGCAGCGCGTGACGCCCACGAGGCACCCATGGGCGGGGCTGTTCTTTACTGCTATCGCGAAGGCCTTATGGCTGGCGCCGCCGACCCTGAAGGCGGGACCTCCCCAGGTACCCCCGCTGACCCGGGACCCCCAAGGACCCCCCTCCACAGGGGGGGCCAAGCCCAGGGACTCGCCGGGACCCCGCGGGGGGGTCCCCGGGGAGAGGCGGTAATCTCTTGTCCGCCCCCTTGTCAAAGGAACCAGGGGGGAGGTAGTCTGATTATTCGGGACCCCCCCGCACGAGTCCTCCCCCATGGGAGGACCTCCCTTGTCCCTTGTCCACTAGGGGGGACCACCCCCCAGGACCCGCCAGGACCCCTCCTGGGGGTGACTGGGGTCCCCTCCTGTACCCTCCCCCGTACCCTCCTATATCATTGTTCCCCATTAGTATACACCCCCTCCCCCAGGCGACTGGGAGCCAACCCAGGTCCATGAGGGCCCCCTACCCCACCACTTCTTGTAAAAATACAATACAAAACACACTCTGACCCCACCATCCATGGTAAATTATCTTGGCGAAGGACCCAACCCTATGAATTTGTGGGTGCCGCAATTGTGAATATCTTCTTCGGTGAAGCTCCCTACGGGGCCACGAAGCGCTGCGCTGGGCGGGGGGGGAACGCATGCGGGCGGTAGCACTGGGGCCGTCGGTGAAGCTCCCAATGAGGCCACGAAACGCTGCACTGGGTGGGTGAAACTACCAAATTCGGCGTGTGGGACGCATGCGGGCGGTCCCACTGGGGGCTTCGGTGGAGCTCCCCATGGGGCCGCGAAGCCGTGTAAAGGGTGGGTGAAAATGCCAAATTGGGTGTGGGGGACGCATGCGGGCGGCCCCACTGGGGGCTTCGGTGGGGCTCTCTATGGGGCCACGGAGCGCTGTACTGGGTTGGTGAAAATGCCAGATTGGGTGTGGGGGACAAATGCGGGCGGTCCCACTGGAGGCTTCGGTGGAGCTCCCTGTGGGGGACGCATGCGGGCGGTCCCACTGGGGGCTTCGGTGGAGCTCCCTATGGGGCCACGAAGCGGTGTACCGGGCGGGTGACAATGCCAAATTTGGCACGGTGGTCGCATGTGGGCGGTCCTATTGGGGGCTTCGGTGGAGCTCCCTATGGGGCCACGGAGCGGTGTACTGGGTGGGTGACAATGTCAGATCGCATGCAGACGGTCCGACTGGGGGCTTCGGTGGGGCTCCCTATGGGGCCACGAAGCGCTGTATGCCAAGTTGGGTGTGGGGGACGCATGCGGGCGGTCCCATTGGGGGCTTCGGTGGGGCTCCCTATTGGGCCACGAAGCGTTGTACTTGGTAGGTGAAAATGCCAAATTGGGCGTGGGCGACGCATGTGGGCGGTACCATTGGGGGCTTCGGTGGAGCTCCTTATGGGGCCACGAAACGTTGTATTGGGTGGGTGAAAATGCCAAATTGGGCGTGGGGGACGCATGCGGGCGGTCCCGCTGAGGGCTTCGGTGGAGCTCCCCATGGGGCCACGAAGCGCTGTGCTGGGTGGGTGACAATGCCAAGTTGGGTGTGGGGGACGCATGCGGGCGGTCCCACTGGGGGCTTCGGTGGGGCTCCCTATTGGGCCACGAAGCGCTGTACTGGGTGGGTGAAAATGCCAAATTGGATGTGGGGGACGCATGTGGGCGGTACCACTGGGGGCTTCGGTGGAGCTTCCTATGGGGTCACGAACCGTTAGATTAGGTGGGTGAAAATGCCAAATTGGGCGTGGGGGACGCATGCGGGCGGTACCACTGGGGGCTTCGGTGGAGCTCCCTATGGGGCCACGAAGCGCTGTAATGGGTGGGTGAAAATGCCAAATTGGGTGTGGGGGACGCATGCGGGCGGTCCCACAGGGGGCTTCGGTGGAGCTCCCTACGGGGCCACGAAAAGCTGTGCTGGGCGGGTGAGTGCCAAGTTGGGGGTGGGGGACGCATGCGGGCGGTCCCATGGGCTGCATATGCTGTGGTTCGGGCCAGGATCGGGTGCTATGTATGTGTTGGGAGGGCGGGTGGGAGTGAGCGAGACGGCTTGGTGGCGGGGAGGGCGTCTTGACCCCCCCCCCGTACCCCCCTCTAATTACCCCCCCCCGTCCCCCCCCTTCGTCGGGGAAGGGAAACAGGGAAGGGAATCGACTGAATTATCTTGTCGCTGTTGGTTCTTCAGTTTCTTTTCGGGACTGGCGACGACGACGAAAACGACGGCAGCGTCTCACACACGCCGAAGCGTCGGCGGATTAAGCGTTACTTGCATCAGCAACCCGACTGCATCTCTTAAAAATGTTCCGTAATCTCTCCCACATGTGTTCTGGCGGTTGCGCCCGCGGCGCCGTCGCGGTGCCACATTGGCTGTTTATCGAGACGGAGTGTGTCGCGGGCGTGTGTGCACAGTTTTCCCGAATCAAGAGAGTCTTAAGAACCTCCCGTGAGGCGCTCAGGACCATGTTAGGTCCCTCTCAGGAACGTGTCAGGGTCCTCTTAGCTCAGCCACCCCAAAGGGTTAACCAAGAGCCTGTCAGGACCCAGGAGCCTCTCAGGACCTGCCAGGACTCTTGGTTTGCCTGCTGGCCCCCGCCCGTATCGGCACCTCTCTCACGAGGATTTTGCTTCGCAGAAGATTCAGCGCGCCTTTGCGCGCTTGTTCCGTAGGCCCTGTCCGCACTGCCCCGCGGTGCGCAGTGCATGACGACAGGGGGTGCGTGATGATTTTCACAGAGCTGTGCTTTGTCCACGGCCTGGCCATGACATGCCTTGGGGCCGTTCATCGAAACAGGAGTAACGCCATAAACGTAAAGTTTTGGCGTTCCGCGCGGATTTCTTGAATCTGCGCTGGCCCCCCCACGAAGCGCCTCCAGCGCCGCCCCTGGCGCGCCCCGCGCGCCAGGGAGGGGGGTCAACCGCAGATCCAAGAAATCCGCGCGGAGCGCCACAAGTTTATGTTTACTGTGTATTTTCTTCTTCTAGCGCCGGCGCATCCCTTGGGACTGGCTTCCGCTGGCTGTGACAGGCCTCCGCCCAGGTCTCGGCACCCCTGCGCCGCCTCGGGCGGCCCCCGCCCGGGGACGCTCGATGCCTCTGGTCGGGGTTGGGATGCTGAGAGCACCCTCTCCTCCTCCTCCTCCTCTTCTTCCTCCTCCTTCTCCTCCTCCTCCTCCTCCTCCTCCTCCTCCTCCATTCCTTTTCCTTATCGATAATTTTTCCCTGTCGCACCCCGAGGCCAGTTTTTTGGGCGGGCCGGGCGTTTCGCCTGAGACTGCCTCACCACTTATGATTCTGAAGCTTTGAAAGTGGCAACAGCTTCGCAGATGAAGGGCGGGTGGTTTTCAAAATGTGACTCGAGGCTCTCGCCTGAGCGCCGCGCACATTCACTTTAAACGTTGCAAGAGCTTCATGGATTGAGGGCGGGTGGTTTTTAAATTGTGGTCCTCGCTTTAGCGCCGTGCACACTCGTCTTTAAACATTTGCAAGAGTTTTACGGGTTGAGGGCCAGTAGTTTTCAAAATGTGGTTCTCGCCATAGCGCCGCGCACATTCGCTTTAAACATTTGCAACCAAAGTTTCACGGATTGAGGGCGGTTCCTTTTCAAAATGTGGTTCTCGCCTTAGTGCCGCGCGCATTCGTTTATAAAATCCGGAAGAGTTTCACGAATTACCTGGATCAACTCACCAAAAATGGTGTTTTGGCAGGATTCAGGATTATGCGGGTGCAACAGTATGATGATTCGCGGTGTTGACGTCCCAAAAACGGCGTCCTGGCACGATTCCGCATCGTCAAGACGCAGCAGTCAGGTTGATCCGTGGCGTTGAAATCCCGAGAACAATGTTTTGGCATGCTTCAGGGTCTTCGAGGGTGACTTCCTACGAGGCAGTTCCCTCAATGGAAATGAACCGTTGTAGAGGCCTGTGAAGAGGGAGCTTGGAGGGAGGGTTAATTCCAACATCGTTGATGATTCTTTGGTTTACACTGGTCCTCCTCCTCCTCCTCCTCCTCCACCTCCTCCTCCTCCTCGAGCTGCCCGTGGCATTACGGAGGGCAGCCTGGGTCACTGCCAGGGGCCGCCTGAGCGCAGTCCTGAACGTTTTCGCTTGTCCACGGGGGTACGCCGTGTCCCTGGGCGGCTGGAAGAAACGTGCACCCACGTTCTGCCTTTGTGGGCATAAGGGCTCCGGCCGCCCTGGGACAGGCCTCCCCAGCGATGGCCACCTGAGCTTCATGCTGTTATCCGTCCCCCAAGGAACCGCCTACCGCCGTCTACAGGAGGCTCTACGACGAGCACAAGGATCGTCGACGTCGCCGTCTTTGTCGGTGTCGTCGTGGTCGTCGTCGTGGTCGCAGGGCGGAGAGGAACAGGCGTAGGAGGAGCAGGAAGATAAGCAGAATGAGGGAAGGGTGAGCACAGGGGCTGGAGAGTGCCGACTGCACGCCAGGGCCACTGCTGGCCATAGCTTCATTGGGACCCGCATTGATGTGTAGGCATCCAGGTTCAATGCCCGGAGTGGCTTGCTCAGCATGAGCGCAGCTGCTCAGCATGAGTGCAGCGTGTCAGTTGGCGGACCCCTGGAGGACAGGCAGCAGAGGCTGCAGCTGCGGAGGGAGGCCCTCGATCTGCAGGAGGCGGAGCAGCTGGAGCAGGACAAGAGGGCCGCGTGGAAGACGGCAGTGTCGCCCCGGTGCGAGATGGACGCCCAGAGGGCGGCGGAGCGCTGCATGGAGTGGGGCCTCCAGAAGCAGAGGGAGCTCTATGAGAAGCAGGTGCTGGAGGCGTACCGCTCCGTCGAGGAGACCCGCAGCTTCCAGGCACGGCCGCTGCCCAGCTCCAGCATGCGCCGCTCGGGCTCAGAGGGAGCCGTGGGCTGGAGCCGGGCGAGGGGCGCCGACTGCAGCGTGGAGGACCGCAGAGGAGGGAAAGGTTGCCATACGGCTACCCCTCCCTCGTTTCCCCCCTCTTGGGCCTCCTGGGAGGCCCTCGTCGCCATCGCTGGATTCGCCTCGAGATTCTGGTCAGAGCGCACCCCAGGAAAGGCCCGGGGAGTCGCGGTACTGGTGCCTTTGTTGAGTCACTCCAGGACCGCCTGGCTTCGTGGCAGGGGGCAAGGAACGCGGGCCTAGAGAAGCGCAGGCGCGGGGGCGGCCGAGAACGGCAGGCGGGGGGGTCTGGCTGCGCGCAGGGGTCGGCGTCGCCGGGGTGATTGACCTGACCTGTGGTGCGCGGCTGAACGCTTTTGCGCCAAAACAGGTCAAGGTCCCGCTACCCTGGCCTCGTTTTCGCCTTTTTGGACCTCCTGGCAGGTACTCGTCGCCACCGCTGAGCTCCTGGGTGTTTTCCTGCCTCAGGTTGCGCTCCAGCAGCTGCGCTTGGCCGAGAGCGTTGCGTGGGTGCCCGCATTGTCCTGGACGGCCGCCAGGGACCAACGCCGAGCGACCCTTTGCCTGATTGGCCTCTGACGTGCGGCTTTCGGGGGGCTCCAGGGGGGCAAACCCAATCACGCATGCCACCTGCGTCACACCGCACGCAACGACAGGCAAGCCACGCACCAGAGGTCACTTGTGCCTAGGTCATCACTCTAGCGTGTAGCCGCATATTCTGGGTCAGCCGCATGGGCGCGAATGCAAGCGGGCTTCGCGCTTGGCGCCGCGACTTACGAAGTTAGGTTGCCCAGGGGAGATTCAGCCTTCCTCCCCGCCTCCTCCTTTTCTTCTTCTTCTTCTTCTTCTTCGTCTTCTTCTTCTTCGTATTATTATTATTAGTAGTATTATTATTATTAGTATTATTAGTATTATTATTCGTATTATTATTATTATTATTTTCTTTCTCCTACTCTTCCTCTCCCTCCTGCTCCTCCTCCTCCTGCTCCTCCTCCTTATCGTCCTCCTCATCATCCTCCTCCTCCTCCTCCTCCTCCTCCTCCTCCTCCCCCTCCTCCTCTTCCCCCATCCAAGTGGTAGGAATTTGGACCCCCAAGCGCCGTTGTCCTCATTCGTTATTTGTGTATATACATCGGACGTTGGGGGGTGAGATCGCAGTGGAACGGAGACCCCCAACCGGGAAATCGCTTCGTTTCGTGTCGTGCGTGCGGGCGAGACGAAGCTGCGTGGGCGCACGAGAGGAATCAACCCGCCGTTGCTAGGGCAAAGTCAAGACAAATGATTATCCTCCGTCTGCCCGGCGGTGGCCCTCGCGGTGTCCCGCGGTGTCCCGTGGTGTCCCGTGGTGTCCGCCGTTGCTAGGGCGAAGTTAAGATCGGAGGTTGGGGGGTGAGATCGAAGTGGAACGGAGAGCCCCCCTACCGGGAAATCGATTTCGGGTTCGTGTTCGTGCGTGCCGTGCGGGCAAGGCGAAGCTGCGTGGGCGGGCGAGAGAAAGTCTCCTGTGGCTGAGGCGCGGCCGGAGCAAAAGAACCTTGACCGGCCGGCCGGTGCCCCGCGGTGTCCCGCCGGTGTCCCGCTGGTGTCCCGTGTGGCTGAGGCGCGGCCGGCGCAAAAGAACCTTGACCGGGCGGCCGGTGCCGCGCGGTGTCCCGCCGGTGTCCCGCTGGTGTCCCTTCGGTGTCCCGTCGGTGTCCCGATGATGACGTGGATGATTATGATGATGATGATGATGGTGGTGATGATGATGATGATGGTGATGATGATGATGATGATGATGATGATGATGATGATGATGATGATGATGATGATGATGATGATGATGATGGTAATGATGATGATGATGCTGATGATGATGTTGATGATGGCGATGATGATGATGATGCTGTTGTCGGTGATGATGATGATAATCATGATGATGATGACGATGATGACGTCGATTGTGTGATCGATTGTGATATCGATAGTGAGACCGAATGTGAGATCGATTGTGCGATGCTGATGGTGATGATGGCCATGATGGTGATTATGGCCATGATGGTGATGATGATTGTGATGATGATGACGACGTTGATGATGATGATGATGATGATGATGATGATGATGATGATGATGATGATGATGATGATGATGATGATGATGATGATGATGATGATGATTGCTGGGCCCCCCCCCAACCTCCTTCTCACCCGCAGGGTGGTCGTATAGGTAACTGATTATCCTTCGTCCGGCGGTGGCCCTAGCGGTGTCCCGTGGTGGCCCGTGGTGTCCCGTGGTGTCCCGTTGAGTGAGATCGAAAGTGAGATCGATAGTGAGATCGACAAGTATCCCGTGGTGTCCCGTGGTGTCCCGTTGAGTGAGATCGATAGTGAGATCGATAGTGAGATCGATGTGGTGCCCCGAGGTGTCCCGTGGTGTCCCGTTGAGTGAGATCAATAGTGAGATCGACAGTGAGATCGACTGGTGTCCCGTGGTGTCCCGTTGAGTGAGATCGATAGTGAGATCGATAGTGAGATCGATGTGGTGTCCCGAGGTGTCCCGTGGTGTCCTATGGTGTCCCGTTGAGTGAGATCGATAGTGAAATCGATAGTGAGATCGAGAGGTGTCCCGCGGTGTCCCTTGGTGTCCCGTGGTGGCCCGTGGTGTCCTGTTGAGTGAGATCAATCGTGAGAGCGATAGTGAGATCGACAAGTGTCCCGTGGTGTCCCAAAAAGTGAGCTAGATGTTGGTTCCCCCCTCTCCCCCACCCCACAACCTCCTCATCACCCGGAGGGTGGTCGTATAGGTAAATATACTCCCATTCTGCCACCTAGCCGGCCGATGATGGGGCCCCAATCCTGGTGATCCCATTTTGCCCGTCAAAAGACAAAACCAAATCAAAGCAATGCTTTCGTCTCATCTTGTGTTGTGTTCACCGTACTTAAGGACCATATCCCCCCAAAAAATCCGAACACCCAGAAAAACACCGAAGCAGTGTCTGCCCGACACGCTGGCGAAGTGTCGAGCGAGTATCTCCTCCCAGGGCCCACGCGAAAACCTTCCAGTTTAGGTACTTTTCTTGGTGCTCGAAATTCTTGGTAATCAAGGCTAAAGGAGGTTGGAACATCCCAAGTCTCATCTGTCGTCCATGTTACAACTCGTGGCACGGATGAGACAGAGCGCACACCCCGCGCAAGAGGCGGGCATGTCGCTCTCGCCTCGGCGCCGCGTCTTCAATTTTCTGGAGCTCCCTCTGGGGCACGGCGCGCATCTCGCGCACACCACCTCGTCGACGCGCGATCGGACAAAAGTGTAGCTCTCGCCTCGGCGCCGCGCAGAAGCTTTCCC